CACACACACACACACACACACACGGAGCAGAAGGTTTCGGTTTGTCATGAAGTCGATTGAACATGTGTCATGGAGATGACGTTGTGGTCGTCGCTGGTCTCCAATCAATGAAATGGATGATGATGTTTCCACGGTCTTCAAAATGTCGTCAATGCACCTGTCGCGGTGGCATGCGTTGCTGATTGTAACCGAAGCAAGCATGTGAAATAAAGGAGATGCCGCACCTTTCATGGCTGTGTAATTGAAAAGACGTTGTTTTTTTTTTCTTTTTTTTGTTATTTCTTCTTGAAGTTGTGCCATTTTTTTTATTTTTTTTAATGCCGTTTTGTTGTGTACCTTATTGTTTTCCAGTCCATCTGTGTGATGTGGGAGTCTGGACGGGCGGTGAGTACGCAAAATGTCAGCAGGCAGGAGGGGGGGGGGGGGCAGGGTCCCTTTCGATTGTCCACGAGGATATCCATGTTTTTGAAGCCTGCATCGACGGAGGGTGTCACATCGCACTCCCACTCCCCGTCGACGGTTTGCTGCAGGCCATCGCCGTTCGGCGAGATTACTCGTCGCACTTTCATGGAAACGTCGCCGTCGCATCACTCCCAGCCACCATCCACCACGCTCAATAAATCACGAGCACGGGCCACTCATCCCCAAACGCATTTCGAGCGCGCGCATGGATTGCGAGCACTGTAATGGACTGCTTTCTTGCCGCGCCCTTGTTTGCCTTTCGCGCGCTGTTGTGCCGTCCCGTGCTCCCGCCGCGCAACTTCGTTAACGACCATTGTCGTCGTCAACCACGTCACCATCTGCGACGCGCGCCGTCTACCATCTCTGTCGTCCGCCAATCGTCTTGGCGCCATTTGTCGTCGTCGCCCCATCATCACCTGCCGTCGTTCGTCGTCGCCGCCCTTGCCGCCGTCAACGTCCATCCGCCATTCGTCGTCGTCGACCTTTCAATCATTCGTCGTCGCCCTGACCGTCATTCGCCACCCTGTAATCCGTCCGTGTACTCATAGTCGTCCGTTCCATTCTGTCTTCCATTCTCGCCGCCCTACGATCATCCAGCCACCGCTCGGTGTACTCGTCCGCAAGTTCTGCGAACCACCGACCGCGATCGAAGGCGCTTTTGTCGGATCTGCCATGTCTCCCCGCGGAGGTGGACGGGCGAAGGCTGCCTTGAAGCAGATCGTGGAAGGCRCGAMCCCCGCGAAGAAGGGAMGTCATCAAGCGAAGAGGCAGAGSAAGGGCGTCCAAGYCGTGGCCGCTGGCAGTGCGCGAGACGTTGTGGAGGAGGYTGKGGTGGRGGAAGAGATGACGAACGACGACGACGACTTTGAARATGACGACGATGAACCAYTGYCGAGGAAGGCGAGGGTCGGTTCCGYGGGGGGGATTAGAATAAACGAGGKRGGGGAAGGGACACCGACCGCACGGYGCGGCGGTGGCGTTGCCGCGGCCAACCAACCAGTCTTCRTCRACGTGGCACGCGACGTGGCGCGCGACGTCRCAAGGAGGGACGTCGCTGGYCGCGCGAAGSAAGGGGCCGCATCRCATGAGACTGCGCAACGCGTGCTTGCGCCRGTGAATCGCCCCCGAACCCCGGCTGCAGACGTGGCGGGGGGTTCCCAAGCAGCGGTTGAAGGTGGGACGTCGCGATCTCCTGCGGTGGCGGCGCGCGGCGGCGCTGTGGCGGTCCCGGGAGAGGCGGYGATCTCCYGCGGTGGCGGCGCGCGGCGGCGCTGTGGCGGTCCCGRGAGAGGCGGTTGAAGTCCYGAAGGGAGGAGATGGCGCGGCGGGCGGGGAAGACGACGAGGCTCTGGTGCACAGGCTGCRCRGGCAACGAGCGGCGACACATGCGATGGATGCCGCCGCCAAACTTTGGGAGGATGACAACAGATTCTGAAACGACACGCAGGGGAGCGCCGTAGTGAGGATAATCCAAGAAGCGCGCGCGTATCTCGTGGCCGTGGCGCGGGGAGTGCAGCCTCCGGCTATTCGACGGAGCATCTCCCTTCCACACAACTCCATCCCCCAACACAAAATCGAGGACGAGTCGGAGCTCAACGCGGCGAAAGAGAGGGCGTTGAAAGTGCAGACAATCTCCCTCAGGGCGATCCACGGTTGGGTCTTCAAGTAGGAGAGCAGGCAAAGGGGGTATCACATGGCATACCAATATGCGTTGAATCACGCTGCCACAGACATCGCTAGAGCAATGAGGTCAGCAGAGGACTCGCGCAGTTTGGTGAGCCCAATGTTGTTCCGCACCACATTGAACGCAGACATGAAGTTGCCTTTGTGGTTCGTGGGCGTGAACATAGTGGACAGGCACGAGGACGATGAGTGCGCGGCTTACCAGGAAGCTTGTGTCCAGCGTCTTGTGCGGGATTTCACAAGCGCCGTTGGCATGGCAGAAGCTATGGACGACGGTCGAGTGTCGTACGAGCGTCTGAAGGGGATGGCAGAGGCGATGAGGTATTTGCTCGCCGCCACGATGTGGATTATGCGAATGGCGGGGGACGATCCGAGATCGCATTACGACGCTTGGGTTTTCGTTCAACTGACGGCGAAGACGACGCTGTTGGCGCCCATGAACCGTCAGTTCGACGCCCGCCGACACATCACGCAATCCGCGCAGGTCATGACGGACAAGTTGGGGAGACCGCCTCCAACCTTCGCCCCCCCACCTGTGTACATCCCCGATTGGGCGTCTAAGTGCGGGGTCACTTTCTCGCACGACGCCACGTTGGCCTCCCCAATGGAGGCGAAACGGTTGGGTTGGTTGGGGACAGGTCCCCCTGAGGACGACGACGACGACGACGAAGGCGATGACAAAGGCGAGGGGGGGTGACGCGTAGACGACGTTGATGGCGAGGGCGAGGAGGGGATGATGCGCAGGCCCTGTTGAGATGGCAGGTACAAGAGGATGGTGGGAGGGGGGGGTTGT